CCACCGTGTCATGTTAGCAAAGCATTCAAAACACTAGCCTTTTCATGCATAGCATTGCATTGTCAGCGCAGCGTGATAAACACTATGGTCGTTGGAGTTACTTACATGTGCTTTTTCTAGTAGGAAGAGGCACATACAGAATATTGAAGTGTTGTTATTGTGCCTCAGATATGTGCAATAATTGATTTTTAATTGACAATTGCACAAGTATGAACCCTGAAACTTGAGCAATATTGATGGGCGTTGCGGATAGTGTTGGATTTTAACCGTTTCGGGTATCGTTTCGGCGGACAAACAGACAAGTACACTGACAGACAGACCAAAATTTTTGCGTCGAAGGTCCCCAAGAAAGACAATCGTCTTTAAAAAGTTCTGACTTGCAAAAAGGATAAGCGCTGACTTGCAAAAAGGAGAAGCTTAAAAAGCCTTGCCATTAGGTTCTATGAACACTTGCGGAAACACAGTTCAGCTTACCTTCTTGAGGGAGTTGAGAAAGGGGCGCATACAGGAAAAGTACAGAAAGTGTGTATTAGAAGCAGCGATGGCTTAGTAGTTAAGAGCATCAGCCTCCCATGCAAGAGGTCCGTGGTTCGAATTTCGGTGCCGCGCAGTTCTCAACCAGATTAAAAAAAAATCTGCTTGGGGATAAAATTGCATTAGGAGGCCTGGCGTGCGGCCTCACCCGTGACCACCGCCGGTAACACACTCCCTCACCAGAGAAGAATTGGCCACCCTGGCACAATATTTGGCCACTGCTTCCCACATGCATATGTCAAATAACTCCCTCCCAGAGAACTGGGAGTGGGATTCCTTATCCACAGAAACGTAGCTGGCAACATAGAGCAATACCATAGCATAATAAAAAAAGTAGTAGTTATCGTAATTAAACTCAGTAAGAGATACAAGATAAAGGTGGTACAGGCTTACGGGCCTACATCCAGCTATGATGACGTGTTACTTGAAAGCTTTTATGAAGATGTAGACTCGGCAATGAGTAAGGTAAAAAACTCAGTATACTATAATGATTGGAGACCTCAATGCGAAGGAGGGAAGAAGCAGGCTGGAGACCAGGTAGTAGGAGATTACGGCATCGGTACTAGAAATGCCAGAGGGTAGCTTTTAGTAGAAATCGTAGAAGGCAATAATTCACGGATCTTGAATACCTTCTACCGAATATGAGGGAACCATAAGTAGACATGGAGGAGCCCTTATAGCGAAAGTAAGATTGAAATAGACTTTATACTGAGTGCACACCTAGGCATCGCGCAGGATGTGGAAGTGGTCGGCAAGGCACAATGCAGTGACCATAGAATAGAATGGTTTCAAATTCGCATAAAATTGAAGGAGAAACGACAGAAACTGACACGAAAGAAGCCAATCAATGAGCATTGTGAGGGAAAGTACAGGAAATCAGAGTCTCGCATCAGGACAGGTACTCGTCTCTTATCGAGGAAACCAGCTTCAGCGCTGACGCTGTGAATGATAATCTGACGAGTGTCATTACGGAGTGTGCAGTGGAAGTTGGAGGTATGATAGTTAGACAAGACATTGGCAAGCTGTCCCAGGAAACGAAGAACCTCATTAAGAAGCGTCACAGCATGAAAGCCTCAAGTACAACAGACAAAATAGAATTGGCAGAGCTTTCGAAGTTGATTAATAAGCGTGAGGTAAGAAGGTATAACATGGAGAGAATCGAACACGCTCTGAAGAACGGAGGAAGGGTCAAAGCAGTGAAGAGGCAACTTGAAATAGGCAAAAATCAGATGTATGCACTGAGGGACAAGGAAGGCAAAATAACTAACAGTATGGATAAGATAGTCAAAATAGTGGAAGAGTTCTACAAAGATTTGTATAGTAGCCGGGACAACCATGACCTTACTATAAGAACTAGCAGTAACCAGCAATGATAGAAGAAGTAAGAAGAGCCTTGGAGAGCATGCAAAGAGGCAAAGCTGTCACTGAGCATCGGGTAACATCAGATCTGCTGAAAGACCGAGGACAGATTGTGTTAGAAAAACTAGCCATCCTGTTTATGAGGTGTATCCTGACGGGAAGAGTACCAGAATCTTGGAAAAATGCTAACTTCATCTCAATACATAAGAAAGGAGATGACAAGGACTTGAAGAATTACAGACCAATCAGCTTGCTCACTGTCATATACAAGCTATTTACAAAGGCAATTGCTAACAGAATTCAGGCAACACTAGAATTCAATCAACCAAGGGAACAAGCAGGATTTCGAACAGGCTACGCAACAATCGACCACATTCATACTATCAATCGGGTAATAGAGAAATGCTCAGAATAAAGCCAACCACTGTACCAACCGCTATAGATTGTGAGAGGGCGTTTGATTCAGCAGAAATATCAGCAGTCATGCAGACACTGCGGAATCAGGGCATCGACAAAGCATATATAAACATGCTGGAAGAAATCTACAGGAGATCAACGACTACCATAGTGCTTTATAAAGGAAGCAACAGAATACCAATCAAGAAGTGTGTAAGGCAGGGGGATACAATCCTCCCAGTGCTATTTACCGCATGCTTACAGGAAGTTTTCAGAGGCCTAGAATGGGAAGTTAGGTATAAAAGTTAATGGAGAGTACCTTAGTAACCTGTGCTTCGCCGATGACATTGCATTGCTGAGTAACTCAGGGGACGAATTGCAACACATGATTACGGAGTTAGACAATGAGAGCAGAAAAGTAGGTCTTAAACTTAATCTACAAAAAACGAAAGTACTGTACAACAACCTCGGAAGAGAACAGCGCTTTGAGGTAAGTAATAGTGCACTTGAAGTTGTAAAAGACTATGTCTACTTAGGAGAGGTAATAACCGCGGAGCCGAACCACGAGATGGAAGTAATTAGAAGAATAAGAATGGGGTGGAGCATATTTGGCAAGCGCTCTCAAATCATGACAGGTAGATTGCCACTATTTCTTAAGAGGAAAGTATATAACAGCTACATTTTGCCGGTACTTAGCTACGAAACAGAAACCTGGAGACTTAAAAAAAGCGTTCAGCTTAAATTGAAGACGACGCAGTGAGCAATGGAAAGAAAAATGGTAGGTGTAACCTTAAGAGACAAGAAGACAGCAGAGGGGATGGGGGAAAAAACCAGAGTTAAGGATATCATAGTTAAAATCAAGAAGAGGAAATGGACAAGGGCCGGGCATGTAGCGCGTAGACAGGATAACCACTGGTCATTAAGGGTAGCTAACTGGATTCCCAGAGAAGGCAAGCGGGTTAGGGGGAGGCAGAAAGTTCGGGGGGGGGGGGGGGGCAGATGAGATTAAGAAGTTTGCGGGTATAAAATCGCAGTAGCAAACACAGGACAGAGTTCACTGGCGGAACATGGGAGATGCCTTTGTCCTGCAGTGGACATAGACAGGCTGATGATGATGATGACAGAAAGTGTGTGGTGAGCTGCGGGCATAAGCATGAGCAATTCCCCTTCCTGGTACAGGTGGGGGAGAGTGAAGGTCCTTTGCAGCGTCACCCCCCTCTCTGTCTGCCCAATTCGCCGCGCCCCTCTCTATTATGTCAATGTAAAAAACCAAATGTTAACAGGCGCCCCCACCGTGTGTATGCCTATGGGCATGGGTGCATCCGTACGATAGAACAGCCACAAAGAGGGCAGCGCATTCCGCGGTGCATGCGTCCGTTTGCAAATGTGCACTCGCTCAGCCATGTCACGTCAAGCAAGCGCTCTTGTCGGAGGCGCTGGCTCCCTACTTACTCTTCTTTTTATTCTCTCTCGCATGCGCTGTGGCACCAGCAATTCAAAATACACAGCCCGCATGGTAAATGCAAACTACGTTCTAGTCCGCATTCTTGGAAAACACCAGTGCCGAAATGTGGACGAGATGGGATCTTTTTTTGTACGCCACAATCTTCTCTGGCGTGTAATATCAAATGTAAAGATTTGGCAGTTGTCTGCCTGGCACGAAAACCGGTGTCGGGATGGGACGGGGCGTTTTAAAGCTGCGTGAATGGCCGACTGCTCACATCCTACATCGGAAAACCAAGAATTTCAACGAAAAGATGCGGCAGCTCAGAAACCACCTCTGTCAGTTGAACAGCAAACGGAGGGCAGTGACACAGTACTGTGGGTAGTCTGACCACTATCACTTCTTGGAATGCTGGCACATTCAACAGCCAGCAAAAGCATCAACCGTACCATGGGGTCACTGCCCTCCTTCTGCTACAATGGAGTTCACTCTTCTTTTTTTTTTCGTTAATGTTTGTGACCTTTAGAAACTGCACAGTCATGTGCGATTTCGTTGCTACTACTCGGCAAACCACATGTTTTGGTGCTGTTTTTGCATCTCGAAAGGGTACATTGAGCAGAGTTAAAACCTTGAGGACGGGGGAACATAGCTAAGTAGCCCAAGCCACAAATCCTGCTTCGTTTCCGTAGTTGTCTTCATGATTCGGTTTACAATTTGAATGCCTTCCTCAATGGGGCCATAAGACAGGTGGAATTCTGTCGCAGTATGCAAGTCGCATCTTAAAAAAAGGCAGCGTTTGCTACCATCGTTAAAAAAAAAAAAAAGAATACTTTTTACTACGAGGCCAGACAACTCTGCTCAAGTGGCCAGACAAAACACTGGATGTGCGGGGTAAAACTGGATTTCCGGGAAATTTCCTTGTGACCCGTACAACTGGGAGAAACATTCAAATTCCGGGAATCTCTCGGGTAATCTGACAGACTTGGCAGGTATGGTTTCAGCTGTCTCACCCCTACCTACATTGCACTGTCAACCTTCCGTAAAATTGTCTTTTGCATGAATAACTTTGAAATATCCTTTTTGAGAGAATTTTCTTGGCATAGTCCTTAGTGGGGCTTTTACAATGGTGCAGCCACTACATGAGCATATCTGTTAGAGATCAAAGTTTTGAATACTGTTTAAAAGGGAAGTTTTGAATTTTACTGTTGATCTCAACTTGTGTGCTTTCATTAACTGTTGATCTCAACTTGTGTGCTGTGCACTCTAGGAGACTGTGGCAGCAGTAGCAGCTTGCGGTCTAGCAGCAGCAACCAGGGGGAGTCCAGCGGACGTGAACGGCGAGAAGAAGTGCGGCCACATCACTGGCAGAGTGGCCCTGTGGATCGCTGGAGCGTGTCCCAGGTGGGCCAGTGGCTGGTGGTGCTGGGCCTCGAAGCGCATGTGGCCACTTTTGCCACTCAGGGCGTTGGTGGTGAGGCTTTGCTGCAGCTAGACAGTGCCCGACTTAAGGTGAGCTATCATGCTATGCATTCAATAGTTGCTTGATACCGAAATTTACAAACTTTTTTATATTTTGTGAGATAAAAAGTAATGAATAGTAGTGGTCAATAAAGCACAGGAATGGCATGATTACGGCTACAGAAGGTACTCCACTCCGTCAATTAAAATGCCTGTAGCATTATGCATTGTTATGATCAGCCTCCCTGACTTGGCTCCACTTGGACGCGTGAGACATAGTGGTTGAGCCTACCCCGATTTCTTCTGGGTCAGTGCTTCCAGAGATGCACCAAGAGCGGCAACAACACGAAAGTTTTTCTTTTAATTATCCCGGGCCATCGGCATCCCTCGTAAAACCCTTTGGACATGCCTGACCGACTGACAGATTAGAAAGAGCTGTTGGCCGTCCAGCTTGCCTTGCTTTCAAGGTGCCCCGGGCAATGGGCCAAGCGTCTGAGAACCATCTACTAGTGCGTTTTCCACGTTCTCCATGGTACATTCATGCCGCTGTTTTTACAAACCATGGTCTGAACGGCGTACAAACTGATCACTGCAACAAACTACAGAGTTGATTTCCACGTAGCACTCAACGTCTTCGTGCTGTGCTGTGTCGTGCACGGTGTACAGTGTTTTTTCCCTAGCCTTGGGACGAATTGGCCGTGCCTCTTTTCTCTTTTCTGGGTAGGAAAGAAGGCGGTGTTTCACCTTCCCCTTTTGGGGGTGGAGGTGAAGGTGGTAATTTTCATTGGACTGTCCTGGCCTCCATTGTTTTTCCCTGCAGAGAATCCTGGGAAGACCAGGATATAAAACGCGAGTGCTGAGACGCTCCTGACAGGCTCCCAGAAGCTCTCATCAAACTTCTATCGAGAGATTTTATGATGCTACCCCCATAATGTAGTAATGCTACCTGTATATAATGTAAATAAAAGTTACTGTTAACAGTCCGGGCTCCTCTCCTCGACATCTCCCCGAGACTTTGGCTGGCTCCGGTCCTCTGGGCAGACTCACAACTACATCAGCATGAAATTGGGAATTGGACCTACTCATGCAAGATAATCTTCAAGTCACTGTCATCACATAGGCATGGCTGTTTAATGAAATTGGTGGAAGAGATAGATATTTTAGAACAATCATGGGGGGGGGGGTGCTAATTTTTGCAAAGATATTTAAACTGCATAGTAGAGAAGTGTCGGCTAATAAGCAGTTTCGGGTTTTTTGCAAAGGATTCACTTGGAGATTGAGTGTCCATGTATAGAACTGTATTGCTGAAGTTAAACTTCTATTTTCTATCTCATGTACAACCTCAATCATTTTCAACTATTTCGTGCGAGCGTCAACCACACGCAGTAACAGCGCCTTATGACAGTGCTTTAGGGCCTTACACTGCTGCTTTCTACACCCACGCATTCTACTGCCTGTCTCACAGATTATTGCCTGTCTGAGGTGTTGATACTGCTTGCAGTTGACGCTCGCACAATATAGTTAAAAATGCTGGAGACTGTGCAAGCCTTCAAATGTTGTACCCAATTGATGTGGCGAATCTGTTCTGCTGCAGACGCTAAGGTGGAGTAATGTAAATGGCACTAGTGTCATTCATCTGGTTATACTTAATACAAAGTGGCAGAGGAAATTCTTTTGGATTTATCAAAAAAGAAGCTTACTGATTAACAGGAACATCTACTCATTGTGAAATAATTAAAGTGGGAGGTGAGGTGAGAATCTCAATATTCACCGAAAGTTGGCATTGTTTTGCAGTCAGTATATTTTTTAAAATTTATAAATAGAGACAAACCACGAAATGATCTGATTAGTTGACTTGCTCAAAATAATGAATGCATGCCTTATTAATGCCCTTGTGGTCTGAAGGCCTGCCAGTACACTTATTCAGCCTGTCTGCACTCGTAATTTCACGGGAAACATAGTGCTCACATTTTAGGTTGAGGAATGCGCATAATATCCCATAATAGTGGCCACTTACCGTAATTACTCGAATCTAACGCGCACCTTTTTTCCGGTTAAGCGAGTTCATAAATCGCATGCGCGTTAGAATCGAGTACGAACAAAAAATTACGGTCAATCTATTGCCATCGCAAATCCAAAATGGCCGCCCCCTACGTGCGTCGGCATGGTGCGTCGGCTATTTCTGCCTATGTCTTTACCATGTGCGGCACTTCGTACGTGTGCTGAGGAGTTCGTCATCTAGTAGTGCATTAGCATCGACGACGTGAAAGGGCCGACTCCAAAAACTCAAGTGCACCACGATGCCGCTTTTAAAAGAAAAGTCATCGCGTGTGCAGAAACGGACGGAAGTCGGGCCGCATCGCGGTCGTTCCCGAAACGTGCGTGCGGGACCGGCGGAAACAAAAGCAGAAGATTGTCGACAGCAAAGCTTCACGCAAAGGCTTCAGTGAACCACAGCAGGGTCGGTTTCCGCAAATTAAAGAGCTGCTCCGCGAGTATGTGCTTGAGGAGCGAGCGGCACAGCGGCCTGTGACGACAGAACTCCAAGCGCGGGCTATGCAATTAGTCTTAGAAAAAAGTCTAATGCGGAGCCAGTTTAAAGCGAGCAGGTGCTGGCTAATTAACTATATGAAGAGGAAAGGCTCTTCCCTTCGAAGGGGAACATGCATATGCGAAAACTTTTGCGGAGAAGTACGATGAAAAGCTTTACAGTTTTCAAAGGTTCGTCCTAAACTTGCGGCGCAACAACGGCTACCTGCTTGGGCAAATCTGGAATGCCGATCAGACGCCTCTTTACTTCGACATGCCTGGCACCACAACCGTCGAGAAGAAGGGGGCGAAGCAAGTTCGCGTGCTGACATCGGTCCACGGTAAAACTACAGTGACGGCAATGCTCTGTTACACGTCAGATGGGCACAAGCTTCGCCCGTACCTCATATTTAGATGGAAGACAATCCCGAAAGGAATCGTTTTTTCGAGTGGTGTGATCGTGCGGGCCAGCGAAAAAAAATGGGTGCGCGTTGCGATCGATGTCTTACGTTTTTTTTTTTTTTTTTTTTTTCGCGGTGGAAATCGGGTGCGCGTTACAATCGGGTGCGCGTTACAATCGAGGGCGCGGTAGAATCGAGTAAATACGGTACCATTTTTTTTGTGTGTGCTTCACCTTGTAACACTGCTGCATTGTGGTAAAGCAGATTATTGCAAACCAAAATGGCTGTCAGCAGATTGGTGTGTGAAAGCCCTGGTTTGACATTGTGGGATAATCAACACAGTAGTAGTGGTAGCTTTGGTAAGGGTTGTTTTGGACCTGATGAGTGTTAAACGAGGACATAGGCTTCTTTTTGAACTGAGAAGATGCACATTTTCTGGCGATTGTATGTGTAATTTCTGGGACAGATTACAGCATCTGCTACATTGGTTATTTCTTTTGCTACTACGCCTATTCAAATCATTCAATTTGAAGGATGTATTTCAAGTTTGAATTTTCGCTTGCTTGTGGAGTTTGTAGGCACCTAACGCCATCTAAGTAAGAAAATAAGAACTGCACTATGAGATCTGCTATTTTTAGTTGTTTTTGTTTTGTTTTGTTTTGTTTTGTTTTTTTTTTTTTTTTTGCTTTAGGGAAGTTTTTTCTTGCCGCCTAAAGTTTCGGATTGTTGCGCAAGTGTGCGATTGTTGCGTCGTTTTCCAGTGTGAACGTTCCTAAAACACGTGTTTCTCGTGAATTGAGTGCATCAGCAGCATAATTTGAGAATGAAATCAGCAGCAGTGAGTCTGGAGAAGATGTTGACACACAAAATTTCAGCATTAATGACGAGGATGCGACAAGTCGGGCCGCAAAGTTAAGCGAGTGAGGGTTGGCTGTATGTGTGGCGCACATTTTGTCATCTAATTAGTAGTTACAGGCGGCGGAGAGTGTACTCGCATCAATTTTACTCACTTTGAGGGTCTCAACTTCTTATGGACATGATTCCTTCCCGGCATCTGTCAAGCGTGTGCAGTTTCTTTCGAGACGAAACCCGGGGGTTGAAGTCGAAGGCACACTCCAGAGTAACGCTCGGCGCTTCGTCTAGGCTGTCAATTTCTTCCAGCTGTCTTTCACTGCGCAGCAGACCAGCATGATCTGGAACTACATCAACAAATATGTATGGATGCATATTTTAGAGAGGTAGACATACATGGAAGGAGACGATTCGTGGAGGAAGTTTAGTCCCGATCAAAGATCAAGTGCATTGGTATCCATTCTACTATTCCTCATCTACATAGGAATAGTAGAATTTCTTCACCTTCATGTGTACTGGAATACCTCGGAGTTATTTTCAGGCCTCATTCCTTCAAAGATTATGCCCAGAAGCCAGTTTTTTTTTTTTTTTTTTTTTTGTTTCTTGCTGTTCTAAGTGTCATAGACTCTGAACAGACGTACCCCGTCCGCGATAGTAAGCTGCACAGGGTAACCAAATACAGTAGAACCACGATTATAGGACTTTAAGGGGACCACACAAAATTGTTGTGTAATCTAAAAACTAAGATTATGGGTAATTACACTCAGCTTTGCCCCAAAAAATGGGTACAGACCGCCTTAGTAAGCCAACGTCCCAACCTTTTGGCCCTGATTAGATTAAATTATTCTTGCAAGGTGGCTGCTAATAGCAGCATTACATAGTTGGAGGAGATGCGAGCGAATCTTTATTCTGAAAAAAATCTAATCCAACATGCATCTTTCTACCGATAAACCACCGAGTCCGAAAATTGCGTGCGCGTAAGAGCAAAATCGAAACCGCGTTGGCATAGGCCTCCCTTCAGAAGAATCAGACAGTGTCATCACTATCACACAATGGCTACGGACCACGAGTTTGCATAGAATGCCTTTGTGCACCGCTCCGGTAGTAGAATATAACAGGTGACCAAACTAGGGCCGAGAGCGCGTCACCGAACTGCTTGATTTGCTCGCGACTGCAGCTAGGTTCGCGCCAAGCTTATAGGCCTTTGGTGGCCGGTTCTCACCGACGCACTGACGCTAATGTTCCATGCTGCGTTCACAGCATTGCATG